TTCCGCAAGGTGTTTGGCAAAACTGCCTCCGTGCACGATGAGCTCTTTCGACTACGGTAAGAGAGTATGTCCATCCATGACTATATAGTTCGATTCCGTACCCTCGCGGCAAGCAGCGGATGGAACGAAACGGCACTTCTATCAACGTTCCGACGTGGTCTACACCCTTCAATCAGACAGCAAATGTCCATCTATGAGGACATTGTAGGTCTAGGGAGCTTTCTGCAAAAAGCGCTGCACATCTCCCAACATCTAATCGGTTGTCACATCGAGGATTCCTCATCCGCTGCCACCTCACCGAGTAATGCTCCTCCAGCACCCGAGCCGATGCAAACTAACTGTTACCGTCTATCAACCACAGAACGGGCCTGCTGAATCACCCAAGGGCTCTGTCTGTACTGTGGGTCCCAGGAGCACCTTCTGCCCTCCTGCCATATTCGCCGCACATGCTCAGCAGTGAGTACGGTCCATATTCATCCTGATGTCTCAAGTCTGCCTCACATTGATGCCCTTCTAATGTACATGAACCACTCTTTTCCAGTCAAGGTCTTGGTGGATTCGGGAGCTTCAGGAAATTTAATCTCCTCCATCAGTCTTACCGCTGAGCAAGGGGGTGGTGCGCCATCGCACCCCGGAAGTCACTCTTCGCATCGGAAACTTCCATGCTGAACAGATTTCGTTCCTGGTGCTGGAGGAGGCTACAGTAGATATTATCCTGGGGTGTCCCTGGCTGGCTAAACATCATCCAGATATGCACTGGAACTCTGGGGAAATACTTCGGTGGAGTGAATCCTGTTTCAGAACATGTTTAGCAGATCTCCCTCTTCCAGGCCGAGCTAAGCTCTCCATACCTCTGCTCTACCACTATTGAGAGCCCAGATTCACAAAGCTCAGTCCACATTCCAGCCGCCTACAGGGCATTCCAGGACGTGTTCAGCAAGGTCGCGGCAACCCATCTTCCACCTCATCGGCCATGGGACTGCAATTGACCTGCTGCCTGGGGCTAAATTACCTAAGGGACATGTCTATCCCCTATTGATCCCGGAGCGCGCTGCTATGGAGGAGTACATAAAGGAGGCATTACATCAGGGGTTCATCCATCCTTCCACTTCTCCTGCAGCATCCAGTTTCTTCTTTGTGGCGAAGAAGGATGGGGGCCTATGCCCTTATATCAACTATCGAACATTCAACTCCCAAACCATCAAATTTTCCTATCCACTCCCTCTGGTACCAGCCTCGTTGGAGGAACTCCGTGGTGCCCGGATCTTCACGAGACTCGATCTACGCAGTGCCTACAATCTTATCCGCATTCAAAAAGGAGACAAATGGCAAACTGCATTCATAACACCATCCGGGCACTACGAATACCAGGTTATGCTGTATGGCCTTTCAAACTCACCATCCATCTTCCAAAACTTCATGAATGAAATCTTCCTTGATATGCTCAACCAATTCGTAATCATCTACATCGACGACATTCTCATTTACTCACCCAATCTTAAGGAACACCAACAGCATGTTTCCCAGGTACTCCAACGTCTCCGCGAGCACCACCTCTACCTCAAACAAGAAAAGTGTGAGTTCCATTTAACCACCATTCAATTCTTGGGCTACATAATCACACCAGAGGGAGTCCAAATAGACCAAAACAAGGTGGAAACAGTGAGGAATTGGCCACAACCCACCATGGTCAAAGAGCTGCAGAGATTCCTGGGATTTGTGAACTTTTATCGGCGCTTCATAGCCCATTATAGTCAACGGTCGGCTCTACTTACCTCTCTCCTCCGTCAGAAGCCAAAGACACTCTCCTGGACGCCTGAAGCCACACATGCCTTTCTGCAGCTCAAATCCTCTTTCTGCACCGCTCCAGCCCTAACCCCTCCAGATCCAAACCACCAGTTCGTGGTGGAAGTGGATGCTTCCACTCTAGGCGTAGGTGCAGTATTATCCCAATGGAAGGGTAAACCCCCCGTACTTCACCCATGCTCGTACTTCTCCAAGAATATGTCCCCGGCGGAGCAAAACTACGACATCGGGAACCGCGAGTTACTGGCCATCAAACTCACGCTAGAAAAGTGAGTCTTCGAAGTCATAACTGATCACAAGAATCTCCAATACCTCCGTGAAGCTAAACGTCTCAATCCCCGACAAGCCCGATGGGCCTTATTCTTCACCCGTTTCCAAGTCACCGTAACCTACTGCCCTGGGCATAAGAACCTCAAAGCAGACGCTTTGTCACGACTTCACCAACCAGATCCATCACCAGATAACCTGGAACCCATTCTCTCACCCACAGTGTTCGCATATCCAATCACCTGGGATGTGAATGACCAAATTCGTGCCAGTATCTTCCCTGGGCCGAATACGCTCAGAACTCGTTACGACAGGAAACGACTGGATTAACACCATTCCAGTGCATGCTCGGATTTCAACCACTACTCTTCCCCTGGACTGGAGAGCCCTCGGAAGTCCCTGCGGTTGACTTCTGGTTCCGTGAGAGTGAGAGGGTATGGGACTCAGCACATGCCCATCTCCAGCGGGCAGTATGGAGACATAAAGACTATGCTGATGCCCGTCGAGCACCCACGCCTGTGTACCAACCAGGTGACCGAGTTTGGCTCTCCACTCGGGATATTAGTCTCCGGCTGACCAGCAGGAAGCTGAGTCCCTGTTATGTCGGTCCTTTCCCTGTCACAAGGCAAATTAATGATGTCACATATGAGCTCCAACTCCCAGACACCTACTGCATCTCACCCACCTTCCATGTGTCTCTGCTAAAACCTTTCACTAATCCACTTCTCCCTCCTTCTGCAGAGCACAAGATACCACCTCCTCCCGAGGTCAACCCCAACGATACCATCTACAGAGTCAAAGAAATCCTAGACTCCCGACAGCAGGGCGGCCGGCTCCAGTATCTCATGGATTGGGAGGGGTACAGTCCCGAGGAGAGATCATGGGTGGACAAAGATGATATTCTGTATCTGTCACTCCTCTCTGACTTCCACCAGTCACACCCAGATCGTCCTGCTCCTAGGGGGCGTGGTGGTCCTCGCCGTCGGTCTCGGGCACCAGGAGATGCCCGTGGGGGAGAGGATACTGTCACAGATTCACCAGCCACATCAGCCTCACCAGCCACCTACACCTGTTCACAATCAGCAGATTACTAATTACGAACACCTGATGTCACTTGTGCACTATATCTGTTCACTCACCTCAGTAGCTCATTGACTGGTCTCAAGGTTGCATACCTTACCTCATGCCTCTCCACAGCCCTCTAGATTTCCGTGGCTCTGTCTCTCCCGTCGTCTTGCTGGATCTTCCTAAAGAGGATTAAGATAAAGACTGTTACGCTTCAATTTCAGGAGTTAAAGTTATGTTTCAGTTTTAAAACTTACCATCTGAAGCTCTCCTTCAGTTTGTGTAAATAAAGAAGCTCTGAATCGTTCTTCCTGTGTATGCCTCTCTATTCAGCCGTGACATAAAGACTGGAGTAATGATGCTGAAAATTCTGGGCCGAATACGCTCAGAACTCGTTACGACAGGAAACGACTGGATTAACACCATTCCAGTGCATGCTCGGATTTCAACCACTACTCTTCCCCTGGACTGGAGAGCCCTCGGAAGTCCCTGCGGTTGACTTCTGGTTCCGTGAGAGTGAGAGGGTATGGGACTCAGCACATGCCCATCTCCAGCGGGCAGTATGGAGACATAAAGACTATGCTGATGCCCGTCGAGCACCCACGCCTGTGTACCAACCAGGTGACCGAGTTTGGCTCTCCACTCGGGATATTAGTCTCCGGCTGACCAGCAGGAAGCTGAGTCCCTGTTATGTCGGTCCTTTCCCTGTCACAAGGCAAATTAATGATGTCACATATGAGCTCCAACTCCCAGACACCTACTGCATCTCACCCACCTTCCATGTGTCTCTGCTAAAACCTTTCACTAATCCACTTCTCCCTCCTTCTGCAGAGCACAAGATACCACCTCCTCCCGAGGTCAACCCCAACGATACCATCTACAGAGTCAAAGAAATCCTAGACTCCCGACAGCAGGGCGGCCGGCTCCAGTATCTCATGGATTGGGAGGGGTACAGTCCCGAGGAGAGATCATGGGTGGACAAAGATGATATTCTGTATCTGTCACTCCTCTCTGACTTCCACCAGTCACACCCAGATCGTCCTGCTCCTAGGGGGCGTGGTGGTCCTCGCCGTCGGTCTCGGGCACCAGGAGATGCCCGTGGGGGAGAGGATACTGTCACAGATTCACCAGCCACATCAGCCTCACCAGCCACCTACACCTGTTCACAATCAGCAGATTACTAATTACGAACACCTGATGTCACTTGTGCACTATATCTGTTCACTCACCTCAGTAGCTCATTGACTGGTCTCAAGGTTGCATACCTTACCTCATGCCTCTCCACAGCCCTCTAGATTTCCGTGGCTCTGTCTCTCCCGTCGTCTTGCTGGATCTTCCTAAAGAGGATTAAGATAAAGACTGTTACGCTTCAATTTCAGGAGTTAAAGTTATGTTTCAGTTTTAAAACTTACCATCTGAAGCTCTCCTTCAGTTTGTGTAAATAAAGAAGCTCTGAATCGTTCTTCCTGTGTATGCCTCTCTATTCAGCCGTGACATAAAGACTGGAGTAATGATGCTGAAAATTCAGCTTTGATCACAGGAATAAATTACATTTTAACATATATTCACAGTTATTTTAAATTGTAATAATATAAGCATGGGACTTATAAGAACATTTTCTTTAAAAAAAAAAACATTGAAAACTCACTGACCCCAAAACTGATTTCAGGTTTTACCATCCATGTAGAAAAATGTGGTCACCACAGTAAAGGAAACCCTGACCCACACACACACACACACTCACATACACACTCACATACACATAGGCCTACAGAAAAATTTCTGTGGTTTTAGTTCTTTAAGGTATTATTTAGTGAAGTTTACCATTTTATTAAGCGGTTATGTGTGCTGTTCATAGACTGGAGTTCTGAGAGAGCTGGCGAACAGAATGATGGTCTCCATGAAGAATGCGAGTGAATCTGTGCACTGTCACGGAACGGACCAGGAATGCATCATCAATGACAGCGGCATAGCAACAGTAACCCACGGTAACATGAACTGCAGCTTCCAGCCAGAGCAGGACTCTGAGGAGGAGAATCGGGACGAGACAGACACACACTCCTCCAGCAGTGATGGTGTGCAGGAACACACACACTCCATCATCCTGGACTTCAGTCCCGTCAGCTTCATCGACACGGTCACCCTAAAAACACTGAAAAACGTAAGCCAAGTCACATTCATTTGTACCCACCTTCTTTGTGACTTGAATGTGCGAGGCTTTCGGTGTCATTCGCTTCCAGTTATTTTAGCAGCACTAAAACATGCATGCTGCTTGATATTATAAACTGGTAGTTGTTATCACATTATTGTAATTCATTACAATAATCAAAAACGCAATGGTTTGCAGTGGAAATGGTTTTAGATTTACTGCACTTTTTTTAAACATGCTTCTAGATTTTTCAAGATTTTGCAGAGGTTGATGTCGCTGTTTACATCGCTGGATGCCGAGGTGGGTAAAATCAGACATCCGCTCTTAATTCCAACATTCGCATGCTAGATCAAGACAATGTTGTAACTAAAGTCCATCGTGTAATCAACCTTCAACAAGTGCAGCTTATCTCACTCTCCCAATGTGTGTGGCTGTAGTGTGTGTAGTGCAGCAGTTGGAGCGAGGCGGATTCTTCTCAGAGTCCATCTCTAAAAGTCGCCTTTTCCCATCTATCCATGACGCTGTGCTGCACTGCCTGTGTCGGTCTCAGAGAGATCGGTCTGGATCTGAATTTGCACTGGTGAGACTCTCATCACACTAAGGGTTTCTCGATCAGATCCTTACTGTTTCCCTCACACTCATGTGAGCTGTTGCTCTGTTACAGGGAATGCCCAGCGTTACGAGGTTGTGACCAGCAGGTGTCCCTCTGTCCTCGAGCTTGAATGAGGGGCCGAATAGATGCATCAGGATGATAGAAGCCTAAAACTAATCACAACAAAACAGAAATACCCATCAAGGCTCACAGCCATATATCAGACGTTTATATCATAAAACATAGCTTTCAATACGATGGACGTTGACTGTCTTAGTGTGGCATATAATGGACATTATATATATATATGTCTTTATATATAAGGAAAAGTTTATAATAAGGAAAAGTTGTGTAGAAAGTCTACAAGTTTTAGTAGAAAGAGCCAGGTAACTTAAAAAACTGCCAAACACGGAGCAGGTATCCATTCTCTTTGAATAAGTGTAATACTACAAATAACAGTCTTATCTAAATATTTTGCCTGTTATTATTTGAAAACTCCGTCAAGCTCTATTAAACTGCATGCAAAGATGAATTAATTACACGAGTGCCTTGTGAGTATTTCATCTTCTCAGTAAATTAATATCAATTTAAAGATAAATTGATAACTTCTAAATGAAGCATTATAAACAGGCTGCCAGAAAGATAGTTCATAAATAAATCTGGGAAACTTAAACAAGGGAAATTAAAAATGTGATATTAGGATGTTTGGAGCGTCGAAACTGATCTTTGAGCGCCACCTGCTGTTCATGTCAGGTGTTACAACAACGAGGAGTGAAGCTACTGAAATTAAATCATCTGTGTATTGCTTTTTTTTTCAAATGCTGATATAAATATCAGTAGACTCGTATTTGTTAATGGCAATTAAAATAATACCTGTCTTACGTCTTAATTTTATTAATTAAAAAGTGAAAATGTAAGCATGGCTTAAAAATGCAAGACGTCGAGACATACTGAGATTAAAGTTTCATACGGAACCCCTATAGCCTGTGAAAATGATTACAAATCATTGACTGACTAAAGAGCAAGATCTCGTGGCATGAAAGATGAAAACGCTGGACAGCGCTCGAGGCTCGATCTCCGGTGTCCGGTGTCCCGGCGGCCACGAGACGGGGATTTCTCGTAAATCGGAAGTAACCACTGAGCCAAACCAGCGCGAGAGTCTCACGACTAAAAACACACTTTAGCTGTCATGTAACTAACAGTTCATAAGTTCAATACTTCTGCGTTTTCATGAATTATTTTAAGATAAAAACATAAACGTTCAAGTAAACAGATTCTTAAACGCACCACACCCGGAAGAGCGCTGCTTGTTTGAAACGCGCCACCAGACCAATGCCAAAAATAAAACTGCTTTTAAAACATTGTCAAGCAAAACGCTGCAGAAAGATAGCGAAAACAACAATACAATCAGAAATGAATTTTGGCTGTCCTCGCTCCATACCTGCTATAACCTACCTCATCAGAAAAGTGTGCATTATTAATATTTAATTCTTATTATTAATATGATTATTTTTAATATTATTTCCATATGCGGTACATTGCTGCATATTTTACATTTTATTCTGATGTTCTACTTTTGTTGTGGCAAGGTTGCACAATAGGATGTTTAGCTGTATTATGCCATGAGTGCAGGTTTAGATAATACTCAGACTGTCATATTTTTCACTATCAGAGTTGCTGCAGTCATGGATGTCAGAATCATGAAACTGAGCTGAACTGTTAGAATTCAGACATCATGCCACAAAAATGAAACTACATTTATCATGTGGGTCAGGATCCTCTATAAGCATAACAAGTGAGATTGACACCTTCATCTTGACAGCACTGAAATGGTTCTTTAGTTTATTTGTATAGTACGTTTACAGTAGGCTGCTGTAGAAAATACTGATAATGACACCCTCTGTTTCAGCACAGGTTTCATTCTGTGTGAATGCAGTGAGGACTGGAGGGGAAAAGACAGTAAACTGATCCAGTCGATGTCATACAGTTTAATCTTTAATGGAGGTCAACTGGCTATTGACTATTGACACACATTACACATTTTTGTATGCCGACAACACTATGCAAATGAGTGAGCGGAGGGCTAGAGTGAACGGAGGCCAGAGGGCTAGACTGAGTGGAGGCGGGCGGCTAGAGTGAGCAGAGGGTGGAGGGCTAGAGTGAGTGGAGGGTGGAGGGCTAGAGTGAGTGGAGGTGGGCGGCTAGAGTGAGCGGAGGGCTAGAGTGAGCGGAGGTGGGCGTCTAGAGTGATCGGAGGCCAGAGGGCTAGAGTGAGCGGAGGGTGGAGGGCTAGAGTGAGCGGAGGGTGGAGGGCTAGAGTGATCGGAGGCCGGAGGGCTAGAGTGAGCGGAGGCGGGCGGCTAGAGTAAGTGGAGGGTGGAGGGCTAGAGTGAGCGGAGGGTGGAGGGCTAGAGTGATCGGAGGCCGGAGGGCTAGAGTGAGCGGAGGCGGGCGGCTAGAGTAAGTGGAGGGTGGAGGGCTAGAGTGAGCGGAGGGTGGAGGGCTAGAGTGAGCGGAGGGTGGAGGGTTAGAGTTAGCGGAGGTGGGCGGTCAGAGTCAGCGGAGAACGGAGGGCTAGAGTGAGCGGAGGCGGGCGGCTAGAGTGAGCGGAGGGGGGCTGCTAGAGTGAGCGGAGGCCGGAGGGCTAGAGTGAGCGGAGGCGGGCGGCTAGAGTGAGCGGAGGCGGGCGGCTAGAGTGAGCGGAGGCGGGCGGCTAGAGTGAGCGGAGGCGGGCGGCTAGAGTGAGCGGAGGCGGGCGGCTAGAGTGAGCGGAGGCGGGCGGCTAGAGTGAGCGGAGGCGGGCGGCTAGAGTGAGCGGAGGCGGGCGGCTAGAGTGAGCGGAGGCGGGCGGCTAGAGTGAGCGGAGGCGGGCGGCTAGAGTGAGCGGAGGCGGGCGGCTAGAGTGAGCGGAGGCGGGCGGCTAGAGTGAGCGGAGGCGGGTGGCTAGAGTGAGCGGAGGCGGGCGGCTAGAGTGAGCGGACGCGTGCAGCTAGATTGAGCGGAGGTGGGCTGCTAGAGTGAGCGGAGTCTGGAAGGCTAGAGTGAGCGGAGGCTGGTGGCTAGAGTGAGCGGAGGCGGGCTGCTAAAGTGAGCGGAGGCCGGAGGGCTAGAGTGAGCGGAGGTGGGCGGCTAGAGTGAGCGGAGGCGGGTGGCTAGTGTTAGATTTATGGCAACCACATGTGACGACCCCGGGCTGGACTCCGCTTCGTCCACGGTGAAAGCCGATCCGGCGATCCACAGAGTTGATGTATTTCCTCAGCGTCCAGCACGGATCAGCTCTAGGCATGGCGAAGCAGATATCGTCCTCTTTTGGAAGGCCAAACAAAGTAGATTCGTTTTCACAACGAGAAACATAGCGCCTTCACGACATGGCGGCAGCAACAATACTACAGCGAGAATAAAAGTTACGCCTTCTTTCTTTGCGTGAACATTTGGGTGGCGTTATGCAAATCTTCCCACATAGTGAGGTAGATATGTGGGGGCGTGTTAGAACGAGCCGTTTTAGGTAGGCGTGGTTGACTCTTAACTTTTATAAAGAATATCTCTTTGGATTTGAGACTTCAGTCTTTGCAACTTTACAGGTCTTCTTTATGCACCAAGAGCTTGTAACACTCCAAAGAGAAAGGAAAATTTTAAATCGCATCATATGACCCTTTAAACTATATAAGGTTTTAGATAGCAACATCCACATAAACAAGAACATAATCACACTGACGCAACAGTATAACGCTCAGCTTTATGTATTTACTCACAAGATGAGTAAAGTTGTTTTTTTTTCCATCAGCGCACATCTCTATGTTCTCATCAACCAATCAACATCGCGCTATGTTTGAATATTAATGAGCGTTTTTTAAATGAGGAGATTTTGCTGCGTTCTAAATTCCCCTGTGATATCACGCACCGAGCTCCTGTATCTGTTAAACGCTCTACTGTGAGTTTCTCCTCTCTACCAAACACACACTCCACACTGAGTATTAAGAAATGATTAAATAACAGAAAATGATCCGCCGCCCGATACAGTTGGATTCCGCACGCAAGGAGGACCGTCTACTTACTAGAAGCCAACAACTCAGAGATGTCGGAGGTCTTTTCTTCTGGCACAGGACAGAACTAGAGACCGAAAGATGATGCAGAAACACGGAGGATGCGGCTCAGAAGACGACTGGAACGCATGCTGTATCCATCAAACAATTGACCACTGAACATTTTATTTGAATGCATTTTTCCCCCTGTGTTATCAGCCTCATTTATTGCTGAGCTTGTATTAAGTTCATATTAACCCATATTCTCTTTAGTTTCATTTGTTACTCGGTGCTGTGTTTGGCCTTTTGTCTTTTCTGTTTTTCTCAAGTTTTGTTGGAGGTGACCCGGGCTCCAGATTTGTAAATCAGAGTGTCACCAAACTTTAAGGAAAGATGCAATATGTTTGTTCTCTCAAACTGTCTTTAAACTGTCCATACAACCTCCACAGAAAAGGATTTAATCGCTGTCAACGCTGTGAGTGACCGATGGGCCTCTGGATTCAGATTTTTGGAAGGAAGGAAAACCCTGTGCTTTGAGGTATTGTAGGAAAGATCTTTAATGATATCAAGAATTATAATATAGTATGGAGTAACATAATATAATATATATATATAAAAAAAAAGATCATAAATAAATAGCACAGATCCTTAAGAACTGCAAGGCATTTCTGCCTGTCGCAGCACGGCCGGTGCCAATGGGCCAGCCAAAGGGTCATTAGCTGGGAGCCACCCATCACAGATGTTTCGCCCCATTAATCTCAGAACATCTCTGGAAGGTGGAGCAGCAGAAGAGACGCCTCCCTACCGCTCCCTGTGGCTGGCCCTATGATCCTTAGTTTCCCCACCTGAGGTCATTCCTTCTGAGCCACAACCAAAAACTCGCTTTCTCTGCTTCCTCAGCCAGTTCCCTGAGTGCCGCCTTTGGCTTCGATCCAGTAATTCCAACCTTCTTCAACAGCTGCTGGGTGGATTTACCCATGAAGCCTCTGCATCCGACTTCAACAGGTAAGATGCATGATTTCCACCCTGTTTCAGTACACACTGCCATTAGTTTGCTATATTTCTCGTTTTTCCTCTCGAATACTGACTCTATCATCTCTTCCCATGGTGCTGTAAGCTCTGCCATGATTACTGTCTTGGCAGAGATGGACCCCAGGATAATGTCTGGACGCAGAGAGGTTGTTATTATCTCAGATGAAAACTTGAACTGCTGGTTGAGATTGACTCTCATCTGCCACTCGCATCCAGGT